CACCCATCCATCCATCCATCCACCCATCCATCCATCCATCCACCCACCCACCCACCCATCCATCTACCCATCTACCCATCCTTTCAAACATCCACCAACATTTCATCCATATGTTCACTGTTATATCCACCCAAACTATTATTCACCCACTCATCCATATCCCTGTGACATCCATCTGTCCATCCACCCACCTCACCTATCTGTTCACTTATCTGTCCATTTACTCTCCCCTCTACTTACCCTTCTGTCTCTAGTCATCAGTCTCTCCACCACCCATCCACTCCTCCATCTCCCATGGAACACCCACCAGTCATTCATGTGTCCACTTGTTCATCTGCCCAGTCCTTAGCCCTGTTCACTTACGTTCCCATCTCATCGCCCATCTATCTAGTTATCTGCATGCCTTCTCATATACCCTTTTAACCACATGCCAGCAATTCTTCTATCCAGCCCACCTGCCCCTACACACTTGAGCAGTAGCACAGGGTCATAAGGATGGAGAGGAGTGGAGGGCAGCAGGAGGTGAGGCCATGGAATGATGGGGTAGACCACGCAGGGTCTTGTAGACCACTGCAATCCTTTGGGGGACACAGTCAAAGCACTGCAGAGATCAAGGGGYAGGWTGTGGGAAAGAGGACACATTCTTATGGTGGTCGGACACAAGTGAAGGGTCTCCACGTGATATGTATGTAACTTCATCCACACGTGCTCCGGAAGGAACCCAAGGTCAATTTAGACAGGCTGCTTGAAGAGGCCTCTGTGAGATCCTTGGCTGATCCATTCCCCCATTCAGGTCCATCCATCCACCCATTCATCCATCAATCCACTCACCTGGTCAGCCCAGCCTTACTTCCTGCATGGTCAGGTCCTCCTTCCTTGGAGCTGTATTCCAAGAGTAAAGAAGTTCCCACTCTGGAGGAGAAAAGGGTCCTGTCACTACCATTCTATAAACACAAGCAGGTGCAACACTTGCAAATCCTATCCGAGTGTATGAGTTTAAAGGAAAAAAGAAATACCAGTGCCCAGAAAAGTTCCCTGGTGAAGGTGGCTGTAACAGGTGAGCTCTTCCACAACTCYAGAGGTAGGACCAAGGTGGGCTCGTGAGAGTGGGAGGGAACCTGGGGACTTGGGGTGCTGGTGACGATCTGCTCCCTGTTCTGGGAGCCACTTCGGGCAGTATTCACCTCTGAAGATTGTTCAGAGACCTCCCCACGATGGCATGTCTTAAGACCCCAGTGGATGCCTGAAACCCACGAGGGTACCACATCCTGTAGGTCCTGTTTTTCCCTGTATGTGCATACCTATGATACAGTACAGTTTATAAATTAGAGGAAGAGATGAACAGCAATAACTAACCAGAGTTTAAGTGGTGTTTTAAATCTGTAAGACTTTCTAAACCAATGACATTTTGAAATTCTCATCCATTATTCTGAAATTTTCTCCAATGGAGCATAGGCATGCTGTTTTTTGTGTATTTATCTTATATCTAGTCACTTTGTTGTACCGTTTTCATTTCAAAAAGCTTTTCTGTTGATATGCTGTTTCTTTTCTGGCCAGATAATCCTATTTTCCTACAAGTGAAGGTGGTGGCCCCTTCCTGTGGTGTTCACACTGACCTCTCTTCTGTTTCAGGGCTTTGTGGAGTGGTCGAAAGCTCCACAGCATACGACTATAGTCCTGGTGGTGTGCGTGCTGTTTCTGTTCCTGGTGTTGACGGGGATGCCCATGATGTTTCACATTTAGCTATAAGAATGGCTGTTGTTTTCAGAGAGATACCCTGTGTCATCTTAAGGAAATGTTTGGCCTAAAAATCAGGAATGAGTATGAAATATTATCAAATGCCTTTCAAACATCCACTGAGATGATTTAAAAAAAAAAAAACTTTTTAGTGTGAGGTTTTGCATTACTGTATTTCATTAAAATTAAGCCTCATTGATTGTAAAACACATTTTATTTTATATATCACTGAGAAAAAATGGGAATCAATTGCAAGATGTCAAAGTCAGAAGACTCCTCTTAACTTGAGAGGTGGGGAAGACAGCTTAGCGGCTGTGGAATCTGGCGGCTTCCTGGCACCCCGGTCTTCCCATTCTTGGGGCTGGGGTGTGCCAGTCTTCCTACGCTGAGTTCTTTTATTCCATGTTTACGGGGGACTCTTGCCTCTCTTCACAAGTGAGACTGGTGCTATCTTTGTGAAGTTCGGCATCATGGCTAGCTGGCATCCCAGGAAGACCTGAGTACCTTCGCCCTTTCTCTGCTTTGGGATACTTTCTGTAATGTGAGAGGGCCCACGGCCTTGCCAGTTGAGAAGAGTCCACCAGAAAGGCAGCCAGGTCCCAGAGCCTCGGAGGGGAGGGTCAGGGGAGCCCTTGGGCACCTTCTCCATGCCCCCACGACGGCAGTCTATCCATACCTTCTACATCTTGTTCCTTTTGATGGTTTACAGTGGCCTTTCATCCCCTAAAGGACTCTTCATTCCGTAGACTTTTCCAGATAGCTACTTTAATTACGCGTCCTATTTTACAATTAAACACAGACTCTCTCTTTGTTGTGTTCTAGCCATAGTCTCCTTTTAACTTCTGCCTGCGGTTTGTTTCATAATTTGATTTGAAAGTTTTTAACTGGCTTATTACTGTTTTTTCAAAGAGTCAGCATTAGGATTGACTTATATCCATTATTTTTCATTTGTGATTCATTTTTCTTTAATATATATTGTGTTATATTTTTACTTGTTTTTATTCCTTATCTCAACTTTTAAGTTGAATACTTAATCTATACTCTCTTTATATTTGCAATAATAGCCTATTTAAAAATATAAATGTACTTCTGGATACAGCCTTGGCCACATGTTCTTGTTTATATAGTTTTTTTGTTTTGTTTTGTTTTTGTGGTGTTCCTAGAGAGTGCTTTGAATCTCAGTGATTTGGCTAAGTTTTGCTTACAATTCATTTCTGGTTTCTGGTTTCACTGCACTGTGAACAGAGAGTGTGGCCTAGGGTAGATGTTCTTTCAAGACATTGTGAGAAGCTCTTACTACAGCCTAGGACATCCCTGGTTTCCTAGTCTCATGGACATTTAAGATGAGCGTGTGCTCATCGTCTGTAGTCGTTAACTGCTTTTGCRTCTGCTCACTGGCCAGGCACGGTCAGTTATACTGCTCATATTTCATGTGATTTAATGTGGCCCACTGCATCTATCAGAAACTAATCAGACTGTGTGAAAATCTGTTAGCACAACTGGTTTACCAATATATTTTTATAATATTGGCTTTATGTATTCAATAGCTGTGTAAATCAATGCCGATAAGTCCAGCACTGCTGTCTTAGTCCAATAGGCAATATATGTAATACACCAAGCACAGTTCCAGGCATACAGTAGGCACTCAATAAATGTCAGTTAAAACCTGACCCCGAATCTTCTATCAAATATGAAATGATTGCCTTCAACTCAGCCTTTGCCTTAAAATTTTCCTTGTCTAATGCTGGTTGATATTTTCATTCTGCTCTTTTTAAAAGTGTGTGTGTGTGTGTGTGTGTGTGTGTGTGTGTGTGATGTCTGTTGTTTGTGCGATGTGTGTGGTGTGTGTGTGTTTATCTTTCTTCTGGGAGCTCGTGGGCTGCCACAGCGCCAGGGCTCCGTGGAGGCTATGGACGTGAAGAGGATCAGGACCACCAGGAGGCCACACCAGGCACGCGGGCCCCGGGCTGCTCACTGGGCCCCCGGCTGCAGGCTGAGCTGGGCGCACCTGGCCTAGGCAGCCCAGGGTTCCTGCTGCACCACCGCCACGCGCCCTCCTTAGGCACAACTTCGCCCCCTTGGACTCCGGGGTCACCCATGCGGGCCTCGGTACTCACACTGGCCTCCTGTCCTGCTCCTCTCCCTGCGGAGAGGCCCTAGCCCCRGGGCAGCACGCCCCTCTCGGGCCTCTGGCACGGTTCTCAGGGCTGGGGGACCACAGGGGAGCCTCGTCAGCGCGGTTCCTGCAGAGCTCCCTGGGCAGCAGCCTCCAGGTGCTTGGAGCAGTGCGAGCGGGACCCCGCCCTCTCCCACCTTGGTCCCATGCCCTTGAAGCTGCGTGGCCCACTCTAGAGCAGGGCGTGGACCAGGTGGCATCCGGAAGTGGCCTCTGGGGAGGACCCGCAGGGGAGATCTGTGCCCAAGCCTGCGAGTTCCACAAGGCTGAGGGGATAGGGAAATGCTGGACGCCCTTCAGGGACTCTCGGAGGACAGGCAGTCCCCTCCCCAGAGCAACCGGCTTGGGGTTGACAGATTGCTGCCCGCTGCCCCCCCACACCCGGGGCTTGGCATCCCGTGCTCAATCAGCGCAAGCTAACTCCCTGCCAGTCCTGGAGGGTCACAAGCTCTCAAGTGTCTTCTAGAAGGATTCCTCTGGAGTCCGCTTCTAGGGTCCATCAGCAGCAGACTCTGGGTAGACTCTTACACCGCAGGAGGGATTCAGGCAGAATCCTGCTCCCCTGCAGGGCCAGGAGCTCACCGCCAGAGGATCAGCCAACACTGACCCAGGGCCAAAGCGCCCAGTGCCAGTGGGCTCAGTGGAGATCCCTCACCTGCTGGCACAGCCCAGCGCCCCTGGTGAACTCAGCACTTGAGCCCTGAGAGGCTCCGGAGGCCCCTGCGCCTGCGCACTCCCACTAGGCGGCTCTGGGAAGGGATTCAGAAGGCCCCGCCCACTGGCCTCGCCCTCCCCGCAATCGTGGCTCCGCCCACAGTCCTGGCCCCTCCCGCAGCCTCGTGGTCTCCGCAGAAGGGTCCAACTACCCGCTTGGGCTCACCTGCTGTCTCGGGTGACCAAACTTTGCCCATAACTGTCAACTAGGGTTCCATTTCACTCATTTGCCCATTCACCCAACATTTCCAGAGCACCTACTGTGTGTTGAGTTCTAGGCTGGGTGATGTGTCAGGCATAGGGAGGAGCCCACTGTGTGATCTCTAGCCCTGAATGGCTCTAGGGCTGGTGCTGGGGGTGGACAGTTATTCTTGAGGACCTTCTGTGTGCTGAGACCTGGACTGGACAAAGTTTGGCCAGAGGGAGGCACCAGACTCCACGGTCCTCACCCTGCTGTCCCTGTGCTGGTACTGAGGAGACTGAGCGGCTTATTCATCTGGCATCTCTTGAGGACCTGCTGTGTCCCAGGGCAGCACTGGGCTGTATGGGGCACAGGGAAGAAAGTACTCTGTTCCCTGGCCCTGAATGGCTTTGGCTCTGGTACAACTATTCATTCTGAYCTGCAGCAATTCTTGAGCACCTACTGTGTGTTGCGTTCTGGGCTGTGATGGGTGGGTCATAGGGAGTTGGTCCCTGAGGGGCAACAGGTCCTGGTCAAAGTGTCTGACTTATTAATTCCTCAGCCCGAACTTTCCTGGGAGCCGAGACCTGTGCAGGTGATATCAGGATGCAGATCAAAAACAAAAAAATAGGGCCTGGGGTTGTGGCTCACCTGGCATGAGGCACTGGGTTCGAGCCTCAGCACCACATAAAAATTAAACACTATTCCACCTAAAACTAAAACTAAATAAATATTAAAAAACAGCAGCCCAGCAACCCACGCCCCCCGTTCTACTCCAGCCCCCAGGAGGGGCAGCAGCCAGCTGTGTCCGCCTTGTGCCGCCGGTCTGTCTCAGGTGGGTTCCCACGGAGCTTGTTTCTGTCGCATTTCTCCCTGTGTTAAACACCAGTGTGTATCGGCTATTTTCAAGCCTGAACTTTTTTTTTTTTAAATCATATCATTTTCAAACATTTCTTCTAGTGGAGGTGACTTGTTAGCTGGGGGACATGGCCATAAGATTTTCTTTTATTCTTTTTTTTTTCAATAAATGGCAAACTACATGGAACATATTCACCGGGAGGAGATCTTGTTAGGACGTTTCAGTCTTGTAAAGTGATGTGACCGTCACTGTGATTTCATCTGTGGCAGCTGGGTGGCGCTGAGGATTCCCACGTTCCACTCTTCCCTTGAGCCGTCCTCCCTCCCCACACTTCAGGGTGCAGCTGGGAAGCTGCCCTGCTGTGGTCATGCTCCCCCCCTGCCAGGCCAGGGGGACAGCCCAGTTAGCCGCCAGTCACCAGGAGGACAGTGGGGTGCCGCCAGCTGCACCCTCCTGACTGGAGCCCTCCCATGATCCACAGTTGACCACAGATGCCTGAGAGAGCCAAGACCCATCAGGCCTGGTTCAGACCAGCAGAACCACCGGGCTGACCCGCTGCTGCCAAAGAAATCGTAAGGGTCACCTGATGATGGGTTGTGCAAGGAGAGCTGATGAAGCCATAGGAGTAAGGTCTTGGGGGGCTTCCTTGGTGCACTGGGCAGTGTGTGCAGAACCACCCTCCTGGAGGGGCCCTGCCTGCTCTGCGTTCCTCCTGCTCCTTCTCTCTGAGCACAAGTTCTGTCTTAGATCCAGATTGCTTTTCCGGAGGGCTCCTTTAGTAAATATGCAGCATCACTAAGGAGTAGAACCTCTCGCTGTCATTTATTAAATGTGTATTTATTAATATTTACTAAATATTTAGTAATATGCAGGCCTAGTAGATCATAAAGTGAACAACTAAAAGGCCAGCCAGAGACTCTAGGCATTTCTGTGGGTCCCCCTGCCTGTGTGCGTTTCCAAGTCCCCACGGGGAGGTGCCGAGACGGCTCTGGCAGTCGTGGGGTTCAGCCCCAGCCCCCTGGGTGTTCCTTGCTGTGTGACCTCTGGGAAGTAAAGGAGCTTCTCTGAGTCTTGGCTTCCCAGGACACCACCGGCACACAGCTTCTGCCCCACCGTGCTCAGGCTGTAAATGAGGTGTGGACAGGAGGAGTGCCAGGTCCTTCTTGTGCCTCAGCTCTTACTCTTCTGCATGTCCACACAGGTGTCTGCTGGGTCACCGCTGAGAGCAGGCCTCTCCCCCCACCCCACCCCC